CTTTATGTCCTCTCTTCACAGTGAGTCCCACAATGCTCCATTTAATGGGTGTTATTTAGGTTGAAAGGTAAACAGCTTAAATGCTTTGCTTTCTCGCATCTGTGTCCTGTTAGAGCCGTCTCTTACTCACTCTCAATTGCATATTTTGTTACATGAGCATGTTTAGATACAACAAGGGTTTTTCTCTCCTTCAAATATTTATAGTGATGACTTGTGATGTAATCAATGGGGTTTGCAGAATCTCACCCTGTACCACTGCATCCTTAGTCTTCAGAATGGTGCTTGCTGCCATATTATAGCTCAGGCTGACAAGATAACGCTGAGTTAAAACAAATTGCACATTATCTGCTTCCATCCTGTTGTTGAGATTGCAAAAGAGAACAAAGGGAATTCTATCAGAGAAGCTCTTCTCCCTCCTCCAGGCAGAAGAGTGGCAGCTACTGAGGCAGACTCGGAGCAGCTCTCACAGAAGCTGTGCTGAGATGGGGCTCCTATTCTCTCATGCCAGCTCTGCATCAGGTTTCCAGGTCCTTGTGCATCTCTCCTCCGTGCTAGATCCTGAGCACGTCTTTCCCAGCCCCTCTTCAGTCTTTGCTCAGTCAGCTCCTGGAGGATCTCCAGAATTCAGCGCGTTGTTGTAGGCCATGCAGGGGGATGGTCTGAGCTCTCCTGCATGGCACCCTGGAGGTGCAGCAATAGCTTGCACCCACTGTTGCCTGATCTCCTTGTCCCCTTCACCCAAGAACCGGTGCAAGGAGGAACGCTTTCAGGGAGTTGGGATTGCAAGACAGATTGCCTTATTGGCAACAGAGATTAAGCAGTGTTTTACAGTATATATATGGTGGGTCACCCCCATAGGCATCCAGCTAACAGCGCAGGGAGCAGGGGTCCACGGCAGTGGAACAGGGCACGCATGTCTCTCCTGGCCTCTTTCAGATGCACACAGAACCTGGGGCCCCCTTGCTGATGCTGGCCGTGTCCTGCACCTGCAGCCCTGCCCCAGCCCAGTAAGGGTGCTGTTATTGAATGTAGGGCTTGACACTGCCAGGCAGGACCAAAACAGGACTGAAATTACAAGTGCAGCAGCAAGGCTGATGTGTTTCTCTGTTAAGCGACTCCGCTGTGTATCCCATTCCATAGAGCTCTGAGGAGGCACTGCAGATTGCCTGCCCCATCCCATTCAAAGAAGCCCTGTCTGCTTTGAAAGCCTGTTGTGATTTTTTTTCCCAGAATATCAAGGGTTTGGTTTCTTAGGACCTGCCTGCAAAGCCAAGGGGTCTTTGTGTGCATTTCACAGGGCTCTGTCCCGGCAAACAGACTCCTTTGGTTTTGAAGCTAGTCAGGCCCAGGACTTGCTCTGTGTTCTCTCCCTTTGTATCACTGTTCTGTTGCAGCAAGGTGCTGCAGGGGGCAGATGAAAGGAAGCTTGGAAGTGTGTTTCTGTGAAAGTGTGGATTTATTTTTAGATCTCTTGAATTATTTACTTTGTCTGCCTTTTTTTAATGACAGTTTATGACTTGTTCTCTTTCCCAAGGTAGCGCTTGGCATGAAGGGAATTAATTACATGAAGAGTAAATGCATCTGATGTTAATTTTCAAGTCAAGTTTCAGCTTTGCTGAAATTTCAGAAAGTAATGGTTTACAAATTATACAGATTTGTGTGCTTTCTTTGTAAAGCAGGAACAGAAAACAAACCAGATGAGGGAACCTGTCTTTGAGGATGTACTCCCTCAGCTCGAGGATATGGCTGTGAGAGATGGGAGCGGCAGCCCAGCAGCTCTGTGTGGAGTGTGACAGAGTCAGCAGCTCACCAGCGCCCTGGCAGGGACTGGTTTCAGTGGCAAAGTGCTGGACTGTGGCATGAGCTGCTGCTTTGAGCCGACAGGGTGATTAAACTAGCTGCTCCTGTCTGTGAGAGAGCGCATGGCCTGTGCACTGCCAGGACAACCTCCTTCTGCTTCAGAGCACTTGAGGAGCAGCTGATACCATCAGAGCTGAACTGAAAGAGATCCTGCTCTGTCTGTGCCGGTGCGTGGCCGGGGGACAGGCGAGGCTGTGCTTCCTAGGAAAATCGAACTACCACCAGCATCCATGGATAGACTGGTCCCTTCTGTTGTCCCGTCCAAGGGCACAGTGAGCATTTCAGGTCCTCCCTCCGGAGGCTTGAAATGATCTCACATCAGCTCGGGAGCATGGTGCTGGGAATGTGCAGTCGGCTGGAGCATGGTGCTGGCTGGCTGGGGTGCAGGAGGTACTGCTCTCCAGCACGGGAGCAGTGGCCTGGCAGCTGCTTGCCAGCCCTCAGTAACATGGCCCTGCAGGCAGCTAACATGGGGAGGGTCATAGTTAGTTTAACTCTCCATCCATCAAATCCAGTTTCCGTCCCTGGAATGACAGCTTGTATGTGATGCTTTGGAAGAGAGCAGGTCCTTCCAGCCTCCAGTGCTGCTTATAGGCAGTGGTGCCCTGTGCAGCTTGGCAGAGGGCAGATCTGTTTTAAATGTGGTCTTTGGTTTTCACGTGCTGTAGTATTTACTGTCTGAGTTTTTGGGTCCCAGATTTCCAGCTTCTGGGAATGAGATCCCGGGAGCAGAGCACGAATCCCTGCTGGGGTGAAACTGCTGCCGGTGAGGCGCTGAGCTGGGCACGTTATGGTATGATCCATGTCTCGTGCATCATTTCATCTGCTTTTAGCAAGCAGATCTGAGTGAATTTATTGTTCTGGGTCTTGTTCTGAGGAGCAATGACAGCTGGGTGCCTCATTATCTTTTTGCTCATGTGTATAGGAAACAAAGTCATCTTGTGTTTCCTGTAGCTTATGACCCATATCTGATAGTGGAATGTAAAATGAGTTTATGATTTAGAAGTAGAAAAGGTTAATTCTAAATAATAATAAAAAGTTAAAATGCAGAATAGAGAAGTTGCTTTAGTTTCTATGGGTTCTACATCATTTTGGCTCCTTTCCTCAAGGCTTTAGTATAACTCAATGAGAAAACTGCATTCAAATCCTGTGGGCTGCTCTGCTGTGGCTGAGCTGAAGCTGGGGGAGATGCACAAAGTCGTTTTATAGAAGCTGTTTGGATGGCTGCCTGCTGGGGGAAGCACTCAGTGCCTGGGCTCTGCTGTCTCTTGAGCAGGACAGAGAGGGGACAACAGCAGGCTTGTGGTATGAAGGGAGGACACAGCTCCTGAGGCTGCAGTGCTGCACTGATGGTCCCAGGGGGACCTGAGTGCACAGTGGCCTCTGTGTGCAGTTCCTGACCCTGGGATGCTTGTTGAGAGCTACAGGGAGGGATCTCATCAGACGGCTTCTTGCTCAGAGTGTGATTCTTGTTTTGTATGGGCTGTTGGCTTGCTGATGGCAACTTACCCTCCTGGGGCTGCTCAGCATCCAGTGCAGTGGTCTGAGCCCTCACAGATGGAAGGAATACCAGTGAGATTTTACCATCTAACCCAGACCCATGGGCACTGCTCCTGCCCCACTCCTTGGCCTTGCCTGGGGTGTTTGCTGTGATCCAAAACTTCCCTTGAGCACATGCACAGCCAAGCTGTGGCTTTGCCTGCCCCACACAGGTCAGAGCACCATGGAAGGATCCTCATGTGCAGAGGCAAGGTGCTCTGCCTCACCCCCTGTGCGTGCTGTGTGGTACACGGCTGGGAAAAGGGCTCAGCTTCTGGGCTTTGCAAACAGAGAGGTTAAAATCATGAAGTAACTGCGGGTCTGTGCCCATGAAGGGCCCTTGGGAAGGGCTCTGCAGTGAGAAGGACCAGCAGGGCTCTGCCCAAGCACTGCACAGGGTGTCCTGCAGGGCTCAGTGCTCTGCAGCGCTTGACTGATGCACTTGGGGCTGTGAGCATGCAAAGGGCCTGGGCTGTTACTCAGTGCTGACATTCCAGACATGACTAAGCCATTCTGATGAAAGAGATGGAATCTGACAGTTTTACTATTCAGTTGTTTCTTATAGATTTCAAATAAAAATAAATTGGCTTCTTTTAAAAGAACAAACTGTGGAAAAGCTTTTGTGAGCAGGAGCGGTCTCTGAAGCGTGGCGGGCAGCCTTGTGTTCACAGCCAGCTAACAAGCCTCTCGAGGCCCAGGGCAGGGGGGACTGGACTCAGAAACAAAGGTCCCTGCTCAGCTTTAGCGTTGCCTTGAGGCACCTGGGGAAAGAAATGCACAGGAGGAAGGGGAGGAGGTTTTGGAGTCTGAGCACCCCTAGAAGGCAGGCTCATCCCCAGCACCATCACAGCAGCACTGCAGCCGGTGCTGCCCACCCCAGCGGTGGGCGCTTCCTGCATCAGCATCAGTGAGACCCTGTGTGGGGCTGGCAGTGTCTCAGTGCCTTTGTTCAAGTGGCTGGCTAGGGAGACTGGTGCTTCTCCTCAGGCTCTTTGCACCCTCTAGCTTCGCTCCAGGGACTGGTGTGTGCTGGGTTATGTTTGTCAGCTGGAGTTGGCTAATGAAGGTATAAATATTCTGGTTTCTTTGAAAGACTTTGTTTGCAAAGACCTGGGGTACATGGGCAAATGGCTGTAGGGAAAATGCCTTTCATCGTTCAAGATAAAGAACATCACAAAGCCTTGGAGATATCACTTCATTCAGGAATTAAATAGCGAGAGTCATCTGGTGTCAAATAAGTTTCATTTAATAGGTCACTCACTTAAATAAAGTTTCTGTGGAAATCAATACCACTTTCTCCTGCAATTGACAGCTCCAGACATTGAAAATGGCATTTTCCACATCAGGCTTATTTAATTTTAGGAGGAAGAATCCCTCCCACACTTATTGCTTGGTCTGGGCAGTGCTGGTACAGGGTTAACAGTCTGCCAAGGAGGAAACCTGCCCTGTCCTCACCCATGGGGATGATGAGAGGTCACTGTAGCACAGGCTCGCCAGGCCCATGTTCAGTCAAAGTGCCACTGTCACACTGGGCTGTATCTGAGGTGTGTCCACAGCTCACTGAAGGAAATGGGTTTGAGTCATTGTGTAATCTCTTACAGATGAGTCTGGCAGGGCAAGATGCCTCATCATACATCTTAGCGGAACCAGACCTTCTGTAGAGGCAGATCTGTGGCTGTGGAGACTGGAGATTGCAACAGAGATGCTTCTGCGTCCAAGGTAGGTGAACCTTGCTGTTTCAGCCTCCCTCAGGAAAATGGGACACCTTTGCTTCATGATTTTTACTTCAGTCCAATAGTATCCCAATGGGAAGGGAGGAGATGCTGGCAGTTTTCTGTGCCATCTCCCAAGAGAACTGTGTGTAGGAAATGAGAGCTGTTATTATTCCTACTATGGTGAAATAATTGTTTCTGAACACTTGCTGTTTCCTCCACTTGCTTTTCAGTCTTAAGCAATTTCTGAGGTTGACACACCATCTCCAGTCACATTTGTCTTGTTGTGTGCCATGACTGATGCAATTACAGCTGACACTCTCACTGCTTTTTGCACAAATGCCTTCAATTGCAGGCTAGCAGATGACCCCTGAAACGAGCAGCAGGAGACACCATTGCCCTAAACTCCCTCCACAGGAAAGAGTTGCTGGCTCTCAGGGCAATGTGGGGCCAGTGTCAGGGTTTTAAATCAAAGGCTTTTCTGCTGGTGGTGTGCAGGGGCAGTGTTATCACTCCACTCTTGCAGAGCCTGCATGTGGACTTTCCCTGCCGGCTCTCTGGGCCATGATACCGTCTGCAGTATGACTGTGCTGGCCATGATACTGTCTGCAGCTGATGTGGGTGACTGCGCTGGAGCAGCCATCAGCAGAGCACGAGGCGTGTTGCTGCCTCTGCCCTGACACAAGCAGACCTAGCATGGTCGGGTCTGACCCTGCTTGACACCAGGCTCTGTGAGGGGAAGAGCAGCTGAGGTGCTGGGTCTCCTGTGCTGGCACAAGGGACCTTCTCCCGGCCTGACAGGGAGAGCTGGTGTGGAAACTGCATCTCCCTGGAGCAAACTGCTCCGGAGGTGAATGTCCATGGGCAGCAGAGGCCAGCTCTGGTGCAGGGGATGGCTGCTGGGTGCTGGGCCAGCTCCTGCTGTACATGGGAGAAGCTACTGGGTCTGCAGGAGGGACAGGAGTGGCTGTGCCCGGTCTCATTGCTCTGAGAGTGCAGGAAGGCACTTTCAGGATGTGGTTGGAGCAACTGGTAGCGGCAGCTAACCCAGAGCTGGAGGTTCCCCACTCCCCACCTGCCAGGCAGGATTAGGTGCTATGTAAAACCAGCCAGGATTTTAATGACCTCTTTCAGACACAAACTGACCATCTAACTTTGCACGACTCACTGAGATTCCATTTTACTCAAGGAAATAAAAATAATAGTTTAAACCATTTCAAATATAGCTGTAAATCCCTAACAACATTAACCTTTTCCAAAGCATTAAACTGATCCCTGGTGGATTCTCAGAATTACTATTAGGAGGAAGCACAAGATACTCTCTCCAGAACTTCATGTTCCTAAAGTAAATAACAAGCCACACTGAGCGTGGGTTTTATTAGCTCTCTGAGTGGTGCCTGCCTGTCTCCTCGCCCTATCCTGAGTCCTCAAACATTAGCACTTGGTGCACTAGGAAGGCAGAAGTCCATGCAGAGGGTCAGGGATGTGAGGAGGGGGACCAGGTGATGTCTGGGCTCAAGGAGGGAGCAGGGAGCATGGGAATGGAGACACTCGCACAGCACAGAGGCCTCTGGAGAGGTGTGAGGCTCTGCTGTCAGGAGCACAGGGTTACACCTCCAGCATCAGGCTTGTCGGTCCTGAGTAAGAGAAGAAAGCCGGATGCTCTCACTGTGCACTCATGGCAAGCAGAGAATGGATGTTTTATAGAATTAATTCTGATAGCATCAGATGCTTTCACCAGTGTCCATGACTCATTCAAAGGGCCAGTGAAAGACTGGCACTAGCCCATATTCCAGGGAAATGCTGTCAAGTGACTCATGCTGACTGGACGGAGCTCTGACCCTTGTCTGCAGGACCTCCGTTCTCTCCATTAGTTATGTTTCTGTGGGCAAATCCCATGAGATGTAGATGAACCTGAGATAAATACAGTTTCTATAGAGTTTGGCTCTTCCTTAGCAGAAAAAAGTGTACTGATGTGGATTAGCAGATGTCTTACAGGTCTCCTTTGGTCACGTTTATCCATAGGTGACCCTCTGTTTTCAATATGATTATACTGGAGAGAACAGGCAGGGTTTGCTGCAGCAAATTCCTTCAGCTGCCTAAAGCCAAGTCTAGGGCTTGACGCTTAACATGCTGCTGCAGTACAGACACATCCTTTAAGCATCAGGAAAGAGATGTGGATCAGGGCTTTTTTTTCCTCAAAAAATGACATTTTGAAGTAGGTTAAATCTACCACTTTTCCACATTTTCTCAGCAAGAGATTTTGTCTGGCTGGTGTACGTGCTCTCCATGGGAAATTATTTATGAGCTCTTCTGTCCCCCATCTACTTTTGTTGACGTAACAATAGGAGATCTGGGGAATGACCAAGGCTATGTTTATGGTCTCACTTCAGTTGTAGTGCCAAGTTACTCAGAGCTTTGTTTTGTTAGTGCCTGAACCAAAAGGCAGTTTCTCTCAGCAGTGTCCTTCAGGCAATACCTATCTACCATTTTACCAATAAGGCATGTGCCTGGTGCTCCAGTCCCAAAAGAAATCAGTGTTTCATTTCAGAGATGCTCATTCTTTGCTCTCCCTCCTTTTGCCATTCTTATGAAGACAAACTTTTCTAGGGGGCATGGGAAGAAATAGAAGATTTCCATTGAAGGACTGTGGAAAAACCTTGCCTGCTTCAGCTACCATATCCTGTTCAACTCTGAATAACAGGCCAGGTCACTGTAGAGGAGGGTCGTCAGGATTTAAGTGATCATATATATGAATATATATGAAAGCATATTCTTTGTTGGAGTCCCATCCAAATATTTGGCCTGAGCTTCTGCAGTCCTAGTGGGAGGTGTAAGATGTGACCGTGCCGTTACTGTGCTTGCTGGGCAGATGCAAAGCTGTAGCTCAGCCTCTTGCTCACAGCCGGCCATCTCTGCTGGCACTTGTATCATTGTAATGCATGCTTTACTGCTTGTCAATATTTTAACCTTTCTGGCACATCATCCCCTAGGGCAACCTTAATAATACAGCTGATAATTATCCTCCACATGAATAAAGTTACCGCCAGGGTCCTGTATAAATCACATAGAAAGATGGCAGATTCCACTGTCTGGTCGTCACAAAGCAGGAAGAGGCACAGATTGTGACAGCTTAATGGGGAAGGTAATAAAGCCAACAGTAAAGTCATTTATAATATAAGCAATGATTCTCAGGCCCTTCTATTTGTTTTCATGCTAATAGAAGATAAATGTCAGATTAGGAACAAGATCTGAAATTTCCATTAAAAATATTTGGAAAATGTCATTAAATATCAGCAATTCACAGCTCAAGAAGTGGCAGCCTGGGTCTTACTGGGGATAACAGGATGTGCTTTGCTGCTTCCTGGGGAGCTGTGAGGAGGAAAGCTTCTACAGTGCTGAGAGCACCAGGACCCTGTGCTGTCCCTGCAAGCAGCAACTACCCCTCACTTCTGGAAGGAGGAAGATGCTGTGTGGTGCCTCAACAAGAGGAAGCTCCTGGGCACTAGGGGGGAGTGGGACAGATCCCTGTCAGGGATCCCAAGTCGTGTACCTCCCGACTGGGAAGCAGGCTGCGGGGTTCCCAGGGAGCACAGCCTGACATTGTAAGCAGAAAGAGAAAGGCTTCAGGGCAGGTGTGAAAAAGCCCTGCAGCTGTACCAGGGGGTGAGAAGGGGAGTGTGCATTATAGGGTATATGGTGGTGTAAGACACACTAGAAATATGTGGAGGCCTGGTGTTTGCACCCTGCAGCTCCCAGGGGCACTGGGGTGCCCGAGCACTGGATGGGGTGTGCTGGGGAGCTGGAGCAGGCCAGGGCTGTTGTGGTGCTCCCCAGCAGAGAAGCTCTGGAGCTGCCTGAGCATCCCCCTGTGCCCCAGCTGCCAGCCAGGCCAGCACTGCTGCGGCTGGAAAAGCAGGAATGGCTCTTCCCAGCAAACAGCCCAGCCCAGGCTGTCCTGGCTCTGGGCAGTCCCTTCAGCACAGGGATTAACCTGAGGATGCCTCTGTGATGCGGGCTGGGGAAGGGAGGGTGATGGAAATCGTATTTGTGTCTGTGCTTGCCACTGGTGGGGCTTTCTCTCACTTGCCTTGCTCCTAAACAAGCACTTTGAGGTCTGAGCCCTGGTGCCTGTAAGCTAGCGAGCACCTTATTGATCAAGTCTTGCCATTTGATCCCCTGAGCTGCCGGAGTTGCACAGAAGGGGTAAAATCGCTCCTGATACTTTAAACAGTCAGAATGGTTTTGGTGCGTGTAGACCAGTATGATAAATACAGAGGCACAGCTGGGATGAGAATAGCGAAAAGCAGAGGGATAATTAACAGCTGCAACAGCACAAGCCAGTTCCCCAGCCCTGGCCTGGGAGGAACTGATCCATTCATCATGCTGCTCTCTGGGCTGATGCTGCAGCTCTGGGGTGTGCGGCATTGAATTACAGTCTCTAGAAAATATTGTTTAGGGAATGCTGAGGAAAGCTGGTAAACAGCGTGCGGGAAGGTGACAGATCTGTTTGCAGCTTCGTGTGGTGCTTTCCCGATGGGGAGCTCCATGCGGGGCTCCCGCACTGCCCGGCTGCCAGGGGAGCTCACACAGCAGCCAGGGGCCTTGCTTCCTTCTGGTGACCGTTCTCTTTAAATGATTATTTTATTATGGAGCGCAGCACTAACAATGGCTGATGAATCTCAGGCTTAATGGAGCACCATCTGTGGTTCAGCTGCTGTAGAAAACAACACGGAGAGAGCTCTGAACACTGGCACTGGACACGATCTATCCCAGGCGCCCCTTCTGGGCTCTCCTGTCTGTGGGATGGTGTGGTGTCACAGAAGATGTCACAGGGGCTCTGAGCTGCTGTCACGTGGACTGGGTACCACTGGCAGCCTCCCCTGGGCTTGCACCACAGCCCCATGAAGCCTGGGATGGTGGAGGTGGCAGGATCTACTCTGAAAGAGGCTTTCCTTTCTATCCCCCTTCACAGGGAACCATTGAGAAGATTTTGATGTAGGATGACACTTGACTCCTACAAACCTGCCAGCGAGTCATGGCTGTCTCCCTGAGCGTGAAGTGTGGGATTAAAGTTTATTCCATCCTTGCTCATGTGCCACCTCCGAGGGGGATGTTTGGTGACTGGTACAGCACTAGAAACACTGCTCCAGAAACCCTGAGTGCATGGGGGTCCCTGAGCCAGAGGGCTCCGAGCCACTCCCAGCAGGCATCACAGTGTGTGTCTTTCTGGTGCTGTGATTATGAATATCTGTGAGGTCCCGGTTATGGACTCTGAGGCTGGGAGGACACAGCCATTGCCTAGTCTGATATCTTGCATAGGCTTGGTGATGGGTCTTCCTGCAAGAACTGGAGAGCTCTACAGCCAAAGGGAAAAAACTGCCTAGTGCTGGAGTGGTCCCTGACTTCCTGGGGAAGCTCTTCCCATGATGAACTGTCCCTGCTACCGAACTGTTCCTTTCAGACTCTTGTCCTCATGCACACCAGGACTGCCCAGGCACTGCATGGGAAACGGGGTGTTCTCGTGCAGGCAGTCGTTGAGCTGCAGGG